GAGGCGCTGCGCGGGTCGGCAGAAGGCGGGCCCCACCCCTGCCGTTTGTGGGGGAGAAGGGCGGGGAGCCCGCTGCGAAGAGGGGTCCCGGTAGACATCGTGCGGGTGTGGGACCCACGCTCGGGGCGGCGGTGTCACGTTCGCGTGTTTGCACCTTCCTGGCAGAAAGAAGCGGGTTCTTCCCGGTGTGGACCCTGCCGTGCGCTCACTGGCCTCTCCACCCAGGACATGACACAGGCGGGACGCCGCGGCCATGGGGTCTCAGCATTCGGCCTCCGCTCGCCGTCCCGCCGCCAAGCGAAAGAAAGGTGACAGGGAGGGCTTCCTGGCCGATCCCGAGCAGGAAGAGGCCATCGCGCAGTTCCCGTACGTGGAGTTCACGGGGAGGGACAGCATCACCTGCCTCACCTGCCAGGGCACGGGCTACATCCCAAAAGGTGAGGAGTGGCGGTCGGGGAGCAGGTCCTTCCCCACGCAGCCTCCGCGGAGCCCGCGCAGGGGCCTGTGTCCGCCCAGCGGCGTTTGCCGGGCCGCAGTGTCTGTCGTCCTAGACGGTCTGAAAGGAAGCCAGCTCTGCCCACTTGATCGACGCGGGCTGACTCCACAACTTTGCTTGGTCTCCTTGTATTTGAAGCCCTTTCTTTTTTTACCCACTCTTCTATTCATTTTTATTTTCTCCTTCCTGTGGTTTTGGAGTTTTCACGTGCGCTGTGTAGTAGGATTTATTGACAGGCATGTTTCTTTATTGCTTTTGCCCATAAGGACTGGCCCCGCTTTGTAGGGGGACAGTCTTGGATCTTCATCACAAGAAAGAGAATAAATTATTAAGCTACTGCCTGCAGATTGTTGACCTAATGCCTACAGATTACTTCAGAGGGGAGAAAGTGCAAAAATGCTCAGGAGTGGGGCTGGACTAGAGACGGGGTTGCCTGGTAACTAACCCGGCTGTCAAAGTCTCAGCACTTGGGAGGGTGAGTCACAGAGTTTAGTGCTGCCAAAAACCTTAGACACTGTTTACTGCGAGCCTTCCTGTTAAAGGGGAGGGAAAAGCGGCGTTGAGAGGCTCGATGACAGCCAAAGCCACGAAGGGAAGCCAGAAAAGACCCCAGACTCCTCAGTCCTCGCTCTGCCCTGGCAGCCCGCGGGATGTTTCGTAACAGCAAATACAGCACTCTGTGTCCCATTAGACTTGTAGCTTGAGACTAGGGTTTTTAAAACTGTAACCAGAGGGCTGTTTGCCGTGGCAGGCCTCAGTGAGAGGCACGGGGGATGCTGCCCGCCTGTGGGCTTTACAGAATGAACGCCTGCTTCCTTTCTAGAGCAAGTCAATGAACTGGTGGCTTTGATCCCACACAGCGACCAGAGGTTGCGTCCTCGGAGAACGTGAGTTACCTGCTCCGCGCTTGGGAGTATCTGTTTCTGTCCCGCATTTTTAAAACGGACGAGTGCCGGTTAATTCTAGGAAAACCCTATCTGTTCTTGTAAACCCATTTCCTTCGTTAGAATGCGCCAAGAGGGGTCTCTCTGCCCCCCATCGCAATCCGCGGGGAGAAGGTGGGAGCTTCATACGTTCTGAGGGCCGGGGAGGGATGGGACTGGAGCCGTCCGGCGTCCTGGGAGGTGTGGAAATACCTTTGTTCTCTCTCAGGGCGCCAGCGCTGTTCTGCTGGGCTGAGAACAGCTTCCCACTTAATTCCTCCTGGCCTGGTTTCCTGGGTCTTTGTACCCCCCCGCCCCGTCCCCATGGTCTGGCTTTGCAGTTAACCTCGCCTGGTTGGACTGTGGTACCCACCTGCCCCCTTTGCTGTGTGCTGTGTCATTGCAGTAAACAGTATGTCCTTCTGTCGGTCCTGCTGTGCCTCCTGGCGTTGGGCTTGCTGGGGTTCTTCCTGTTTCCACATTCAGTCTTCGTGGACGACGATGGCATCAAAGTGGTGCAGGTCACCTTCAATAAGCAGGACTCCCTGGTAATCCTCGCCATCACGGTAAGGCTGGACGCCCCGCTTCCTGCACTGTGTGCCTGCCAGCCTCCGGCCCAGGGCCCTGACACTCGGTTCTTCCCCCATGCAGGCCACCCTGAAAATCCGGAACTCCAACTTCTACGCCGTGGCAGTGACCAGCCTGTCCAGCCAGGTTCAGTACATGAACACAGTGGTTGGCACCTATGTGACCACGAATGCGTCCCTCATTCCACCGCGCAGTGAGCAGCTGGTACGCTGGTCTTTGGGTCTCCAGTGCGGGAGGAGCGTGGGTACTGCGGGGTGCCGCAGCGGGTGCCTTTCCCGCGCCCCCTGGTGACACTGGCTGATGAGGAAGACCCAGTGGCCTTCCTGATTATGGACAGTTGTAGAGAAGGGGGAAATAGCTAGCATGGAAGGATTTGGAGCAAAAGAATTTGTGAGGGAAAGAGACCATAAGTCCCAGAGGCAGTGTTGCGTCTGAGAGGGCGGAGGCAGGGGTGTCTTTTCGAGGCTCCTAGGCTGTATCAAGGACAGGCGTGGGGACGTGTTTTGTGTGTGATGGAAGAGTGGCCAAGGGCCTGGGCTCCCGAGAAGGGTGCTGTTCTGCGTCGTCTGCCTCGGCGACAGGTTGCCTTGGTGTCTTTACAGGTGAATTTTACGGCGAAGGCTGAGATGGGAGGACCGTTTTCCTATGTGTAGTAAGGACAGTGTTCTCCGTTGCACGCGTTCTACCGGGTGAAGGGTTCCGAGCGACCCTGGGTTGCCTGGGGCCTGTCCCTGCCTGAGGTCCCAGCCTTGGCCCGCGGGCTTCTTAGCTTTAACCGTCTTTGTGTTGGGTTGAAGATGTCATTTGATATGTGACTAAGCGCTTGAAAATCTAAGGGAGAACACGAAGCCTGGGAATGTTACCACGCCCCACTGTTTCTGTGGTGGGCTTGACAGGAAGGGGCGTCCGCGTGGAGAGAGGAGCCCGACACTCCCAGTGGCCCGGAACTAGTGGGCTTGGGCACCGAGCTTGGAAGGGTGGGTGCGGGCGAGAGAAGGCACGCACGTGTTGGGCGGTGTAGCTCGGCACTCCACTGCCGGCTCTTCGAGTTTTTGCTCCGTCGTATACCAACCTGACCGTGTCTGTATTTGCTGTTTGGCAGTTTCTTCTGCACAGTACCTCACATCAGGGTGCACAACATAGTGATCTTCATGCGGTACGTCGCTTGTTTCCCTGTCTTGATGGCCTTTGTGTGTGAGCCCGGACCCTCGGGTCCGGAGAGCTTCATCAGAGGCGCCTGGCCCAAGAGGGGCACCCCACGCCTCACGACGGGCCCACGACACCCTCAGCCTTCTCCTGATGTGGCAGCCGGGTCCCCTGCAAAAGCCGCAGTGAACAGTGACTCACTGTGGACAGTGGCACTGGAATTTTCTCCATGAAATGGGGTCTAATTGAATTAAATGTATGTGGTCCATTTCGAACCCTGATGAGACCGGTGTAGAAGGCAGAAGCATTCTCAAGTGCAAGTGCAGACGTGTGGCCGCAGTTACTCTGCAGCCACCTGTATCACCACGAGTCGTGGGCCTTTAGGTTTATGTTGGACTGTGGCCGCAGGCCAGAGGCTCTCCACAGACACTTGAAGTATGAGGGTAAGAGCAAGGTGTCTCAGCCTCGGCACAGTAGACGTTTTAGGCCGGAGAGTTCTGTTAGGGGCTGTCCTGTGCAGTGTGGGATTTTTAGCAGCATCCCTGGTCTCCACCTGCTAGGCACTACTAACACCGCCCCCCGTTTGTAACAACCCAAAGCAGCTCTAGACAACGCCAAAGTCTCTGCGAAGTAAAATCCCCCGATGAATAACAGCTGATTTAGAAGGACACCTCACGCCATAGCATCTTTGGACGTGGAGAGAACCTCTGGCATACTGGTTATATAATCGGTATTGTTGTCTGAACTTGCTTATTTCATCTCTTCTTGGATTTCCTTTCTGTAGCACTTCCGTGAAGATTTCATACATCGGCCTCACGACGCAGAGCTCCTTGGAGACACATCACTACGTGGACTGTGGCGCAAACTCCACAGCTGCTTAGCTCCTGCTCTCAGTTCTCCGTGGTAGCACCTGCAGGAGGACAGCCCAGCATCTGTTCCCAGGGCCGGAGTTTTCCACTGACCCCAGGGGGTTGAAGCAGAGGAGGGACTGGCTGTTAACGCCCAGCAAACGCCTTCCTGCTGCGTCGGGAAGAAGTTTCCGCAGCACCGTGTTTCCCAGAGCCAGCAGAGTCACTGCCAGTGCCTCGCCTGTGCCCAGCACATAACTGTCGCTTGATAAGGCTTTGAAGAACTTAATTCAGATCTCTTCAGCTGTTCTTGAGGCCTCAGGGGCTGAAACCACCCCCCACGTCTAAGTTATAGAGTAACGTGGACGTAGCCCTGTTAGTGTAGCTGCAGCTCCACGGGGGCCTCATGGGTACAGAGTGGCAGCCGGAGGGACCTCAGAACGCCCGGAAGCAGCCAGCACAGACGCCCTCAATAGCATTTGTTTCATCTGTTCCCAGATGTCAGGAGCTTTAAAAGAGGACTGGGGGCTGGCTCTTGTGGGAAGTTACAGCTGTCTCTACCACGTCTCTGTGAGCTTTGATTTACCCTTCATCCATTGGCCGGAACATGGATTGGGGATTTGATAGAAGAATAAATCCTGTTTTTAATTTATCTGTGTCTCCTTTGACTGCCCGGCAGTGGGTCAGCGCAGGGTGCTCTCTGAGAAGGAAGGAGAAGGATCCCTGACTGTGGGCACCTGCTACGGCACTCGGTCCCGCTTCGCACAGCCTCTCCAGACAGCTGGCCGCCCTGTTGCCCTTCCAGAACAGAGCACGCAGTGCCCCCTGGAGGCTGGAAGTGGCAGGGCAGAGATGCCGGGAGAGAGAGCCGCTGCTTCCCAAAGCCCCAACCCTCACCTGAATAAGATGCGGGTGGAGTCTGGAGGTTTCCTCAGCTGCCTCCTCGCACTGGGCCACCGCTGGCTGTAGCGGGGCGACGCCAGAGACAGCCAGAGTGGTGAGGTCGAGATCAGCCAGGGGAAGTTCCGGCCCTCCCCACGCAGAGGTGACAGGAAACCCTCAGCGGCGGCTGGTGGCGGGTTGTGTATGAGCCTCTTCCCCTTCCTCAGTGTGATCTCCAGTATTTTCTTAGCGATCTCTCCACTCTGAATCTCCCCTCTTCTGCTTGGTGACAGTGGCCAGCAGTGAGGAAGGCAGAAGCGAGGGCTGAGCCCCGGGGTTGCAGCGTTGCGGGGCCTGTGACGTGTGGGCAGGGTGTGACAGTGACCGGCGCTGATGAACGTACCCGGCACGCGTGAAGATTCTCAAACACACAGCTGGATTTTCTCCATAGTGTTCCCATTTCCCAAGTGGTCTCTACCATGTTTTCCATGTAATTTTCAAAAAGCTACTCTTATTAATACCTCAGTTTTGAATCTTTTTGGGACCATGTGCTTCAGTAATATTTCTTCCTGATATCACCTTAAAATCTGATTAATAGTTAAATGATAGCAATTGAATTTTAAACATGTATCAATAAGTCTGGCCTCAATATTATCAATGCTCATATACTTACATGTTTTGTATCCTAAACTGCACTTCGGGATGCTCTACGTAGTTTTATCGTGGTAGCTGTCGATTCTTGAGCAACTATCTAGAATTTCCTTTCAGCAGCCCCGTGTCAGGTGATATAGTTGACTCAGGTGTCATTACTGTCACCTATGTGTCTCCAGTGGATCAAAATTTGCAGAGTAGCCAAGCATGGTGGTGCACACATGTAATCCCAGAACTCATGAGGCTGAGGCAGGAGGATCACTGGAATTGAAGATCAGCCTCAGCTACATAGAGAATTCAAACCCAGCTTGAACTACATAATGAGAACTTATCTCAAAAAGAATTTTTTTTTTCCAGAATGTTTCTTAGAGGTAAGGCCCTGCTGGAGATGGCTTCTCTATTGTTAAAGATCAGCCTGCAGTGTGACCTCTTTTTTTAATCACAAACTACACTGGGTCACCTGGCCAAAGATTTCAGCATTTAGAAATCTCCACTTTTAATATCCTTACTCATTCCCAGAAAGTATTCACTGAACATCCAGCGTGTGCCAAGGATTGCAACTCCTGATACGCTGTGTGCAGAGACAGCTGGAAGTTTGTGACTTCATCGAGAGCTTTTATGCTGACCACTTGCAGCAACCCTTCTGCACCCCTAGCTGCCCCCCAGCACGACTCCCAAGATCTCAGGGTTAACTATCCCAGGGATTCTAGCCCACAGTATGGAACAAATTATTAAAAGAGCCTATTTGTTAAAAGCCTTGCATGAATCAGCTGGGGTCCCAGATGTTTTTGTTATTAGGCAAAGTAATCATTCTTTCCTCTTTAAGTAAAATTCTTCCTCGCTTTATCAGCCCTCCTCTACGATTCTGCATTCCTTACCCCATTTAGAAAGAAACACTAGGTTGGGTGTGGTGGTGCACACCTGCAATCCCAGCACTCTAGGAGGCTGAGGCAGGAGGAGTGCAAGTTGGAGCTCAGTTTAGGTCACTTTGTAAGACCCTGTTTCAAAATAAAATTTTTAAAAGGACTGGGGATGTAGGTCAGTGCAGAGGACCTACGTTCAACCCCCAGGACCTCCAGCAAACAAACAAAAAGGAACACCGTGTGAGAAGTTGTTCCATGATTTACCCAGGACCCAAGGGGCTTGAGAATAATTCTTAGCGTGAGCTCAGCCTGCGGGATCCCAAGGCAGAGCTTTTTGGTGCCACTTTCACAGAGGGCAGGAAGCTCAAAACAGGAAGAGTGACCCGACCAAGCCCTCACTGTCAGCGAGCGGGCTCTGTCCTCATCTTCCTGCGCTCTCAGGAGTCTGTCGGCGCTGTGGCAGGAGAGACCGTAGGCTTTCTGGGGCCTGGGGGTGGGGAGTCAGCAGCGTCCCGGTGTTCAGTCTGGGTCTGACGCGGGAGCAGCAGGAGAGGAGCACAGGCTGCCGCCGGCCAGAGCAGTGCGCTTGGCCCTGAGCACAGACGCAGGCAGACACAGGACTTCCTGTTCCACCCACCAGCACTGTGAGCGCCTCCTGCTCAAGGTCCCCCCTTCTCCCTGTGGAGCAGCGCTTCTGTTTCCAGGTTTTACCAGGCTCCCGGAAGAGGGGGGGCTGCCAGGAGTCACCCGGACCCCATGGAGTGCGCTTTTAGGGGTCTAAGCGCAGGGCCACAGCCTCCTAATGAACTGCTTGACTCAAGTGGGCAGGGTGAGCAGGGAGCAGAACGGGGCCTGAGGGTGGAATCAGCTCGGCCCCAGGAACTGGCGAGCACCAGGGCCCCTGAGCATCCGCCCCTCTCGCCAGCGCCGCCCTGGCCGGCGGTGCTCTTACAGAGCGAGGCCTCGCTTGTTTTTCATTAGGAGCTAGTTGTTCTTTGCTGTTAACTGCTGTGCCGTTTTATTCCTTTGCTTTGCCGTGAGTTTGGACTGGCCAGGTTCACTTTATTCAGTCGAGTTCATGTGAGTTGAGGATTAACGGGAGCAAATCCAACAAAGTGTGCTTCATTTATATTTCTCTAATACGGAAACTTTCACCTTAATCTAGGGGAGGGGGCGGGGATGGCGGGAAGGGGCAGAGAAAGCCACGGCTCTCTGGTTTACCGCAGAGCCAGGTAGCTTTTGAGATCTGTGCTGCGAAGCACCACCCTCACGATTCCGGCCGCTTTCGGCCTCCAGTGCCCCTCACACGTCACCACCACCATGGCCCTCCGGCGGGAAAGGGAGCACCTTGCTCATTCCTGCCGCATGTCCCCACAGCGTGGGAAGGGACACCCACGGGCAGCAGAAGCCAGGCTGTTCACTTGTAAGTGTGGTATTCAGAGGCGGCCTGGGCGGTCTCCGTGCAGACCCGGGAAGTGAGAGCACGAGAAAGGGGAAGGAGAGGCTCAGGAGGGACGGGCGTAGCTCCTCCTCCTCTCCTTGACCTAGAAGTCCTACAGAAGGATGCCAAGGAGCGTCCCGCTTGCTCGTGTGCACTCGGCATGGTTCCCGGAGGACTCACCCCTCGCCCTCCTGCCCTCCGCCCCCTCCAGCACCTTTCCTCAGGAGTCTCCCTGATTCCGGCCTGCAGGCGCGACCCACAGCTGCTCTCGCCTCACCCCTGCCGGGCGTGCTGCCTCTTGCGCTGTCTGCTCCAGAGCTGAGATCTTATTTATTTCCACAGCACATCCCCCCTCCCCAGGTCCTAGCACTCGGGTTGAATGTGGACGGTGTCCCTGAAGGCCATGTTAAAGGCTCAGTCCCCAGGGCGATGCTATTAAACGGAGGTGGAAACTTCAGGAGGCGAGGCCTTGTGGGAGGTCACGGGGCCATGCTCCCAGATGGGCGTGTGGGACCCTGTGGGGCCCTGGGCTCCTGTCACTCCCTGCTTCCTGGCTCGTGACGTGAGATTATGTCCCTCTGGTGCTCCCGCCATGGTGTGCTGCCCTCACCCCAGGCTGCCTGCCCCTGGCCTTAGACCCCCAGAGCCGTGAGCCGAGGTGAGCCTTCTTTCCCTCAGAGTAAGCTGTGCCAGGCCCTTCATCGCAGCAGCATGAATCTGACTAACAGCACACTGGGTTTCTGGCCCCAGCTCACCTCCAGGTCCCATGCGTTGTGGAGGGTTACAGAGCCGTGAGTGCGTGGGGCCGCTGAACCGGGCAGTGTGACTTCAGGGTCCTCACTCTTGGCTGCAGAGTCACCAGAAAAAGGCCCTAGGACCACATCTGAGCATTCCCATAAAATCGAGGCGCATGCAGAAGAAACTCAAGGAGACACAGTCAGCGTGTACTTTCCAATAATTTTTTTGTTTTTAATATCAATTGATGTTTTAAAAAATACAGAGGTGTTTGACACAGAATAGCACCATTGTGTAGGACACACAGTTCCTGCGCCCGGCACCTGCAGGGCGTCTTCTTGCCTGGGCTGGGGGCAGTCACTCAGGGGGCGTTTGACTCATTCCAGTTAGTTTCCTGCCTCTGCCTTGACCCAAAGGTCTTACAGGAAGTCAATAAATAAATAGAACACCGAGATTTTATTTTGCAGTCTGCCCAGTTCAGGTCTCTCAGAAAGAACAGGGAGAATGGTCCCAACTGTGAGTGGGCGGGTGAATGACGCCGGGTCGGGGCAGCCATTCAGTGCAGAATCCTAGAGTGACTGGGGTTGGAAAGCACTTGGGTCCTTTGGGTTTGTGATCGGTCGCGCTGGTTCTGGGTTCAGGTTTTTACAAGAAGCAGACAGGCCCTAAGTCCACGCCAAATTCCTGCTCGGGCCCTCCGATGTCCATAGGTGCAATGTCAATGATGGGGAGGCGCGAGGTCTTCTGTGACCGGTACTCGATGACAGTCTTGCCCCACTTCCCAGTGTGTTTCTGGGGAGACGAGGAGAGGCCATTCAGTAGAAGCCTTGCCACCCAGGACTCCAGGACTGAGCAACCACCAAGCGCCAAGCACGTTCGGCGAGCGCCCCAGACCTCCTCTCCACTCCCACAAGCCCGCTCCTCTTCAACTCCTGTTCTCAGCAGCGGAGCCCTCCTCCGCCAACCTGCCCCCGCCTCCCCACACTCGCTCTCCTCACCGCGGGCTCCCCGACGTGACCCCAGCTTCTCGCTCGTGGGTGTGCCCATTCACACTACATCACAGGTTACTGGTCTACCAGACTCACGGAGGCCCAGGCAGAGCCTCCTTTCCTCTAAGCCAGGCGTGGACGAGCTGACTGAGCAACAGGTACCTCTCCCTCGCCTGCCACTCGGCTTGTCTTCCTGACATAGCTCCTCCAACTTTACCGCTGACGATCCTGCCGCTCTAGGCCAACCCTCAGCCCTGTTCCCGCCAACGACCCTGGGCAGCTCTGCTCACTGGCGGCTCCGGCCGGGCCCACTCACCGTGCAGCCATCCTTCAGGGCGGTGTACGTGAACCTGCTGTTGCCCTCAGCCCGAATCTCCACATCGTTGGAGCCCTGGATGAGCAAGGCCTTCTTGAGGTTGCCAGCTGCTTCGTCCAGGTAGGCGACGCTGTTCTTGCAGTGGTAGGTGATGTTCTGGGAGCCCTCGGTGGACAGCAGGCGCAGGAAGGTCATCTGGACGTTGGCAGTGTTGGGAGCCAGGCTGTCATCTCCATAGCTGAACTGTGGGGCAGAGAGGCAGGTGTGAGGCCTGTGCCAGCAATCCCTGGGGCTGGGGCTGCAGGGGTGCCCACTGCCCAGGGCTCGGGACTGGAGGGGTGCTGGAGCAGCAGCCAGGGGGGCGGAACAAGCTCAGAGGACCTCCTTTCCAACCCTAAACGGGGAATAATGCTTTTCCTCCTCTTTCCTTCCTCCCAAGACCAAAGGAAAGCTGGTGGAGAACTGGGGGAGATGCTAACAGCACCCATGGACAGCGAAAAGAAAGTCTGAGAGGCCGGTTTGGGCCGAAAGCACCCAGACACTCACGTGGAAGCCACCATTGATGGTTTCCCCAAACCAGATGTGCCTCTTCTCCTTGGTCTTGCTGCTCCACCAGTTCTTCTTGGGCACGCTGGCGGGGCTGGGGTAGACGCAGGTCTCGCCTGTCTCCATGTTACAGAAGACCTTCATGGCATCCAAGGTGCAGCCCTGGTTGGGGTCAATCCAGTAGTCTCCTGCACAGAAAGGGGCAGCACCTCATCAGGCTCACAGTCCCTCGAGGGTCAGGCTGACTGAGACAGAAGGCCTATGCGGAAAGTGGGGTGCAGAAAAGGGAGGCTTGTGCATAGCCTAAAGGGAGGGGAGGTAAAACGGCACTGGGGCAAGGAGATCTGGAAGGATGTCTAACAGCAAATGACATGGGCAAAAAGGGGACCAGCAGTGCCCGCGCCCCTGGGGGAGGGAGCGCCCCGACGTCACTTCTGCGGGGGCGGGACGGGTAAGAGAGGAAAGCAGCCATCTGCTGGAACCTTCCTGCCCTGCACTAAGTGGCACTTTGCCTTGCTGCTGAAGGCTGCCATGCCGTCTCTAGGGCGAGGGACCCTGTCCTCCAGGCTCACCGCTCTTCCACTCGGGGTGGCAGAGCTTCAGGTCCCGGCAGGTGCGAGCGGGGTTCTTGCGGGAGCCCTCGGGGCTGCGGATGCTCTCGATCTGGTTGTTGAGGGACTTGAGCGTGGCGTCCACCTCCACGTCATGCTGTCTCAGCGTGCTGGCCGCCTCATCGGCCCGCATGTACTGCAGGGGGTCGGGGCCCTTTTCTCTCTGGCCTAGGCCAGCAAAGGCGGACATGTCAATGCCAGGGCCAGGGGGACCTGGAGGGCCAGGAGGTCCGGGATTTCCAGGAGGACCCTGCATTAGGAAACAGAAGTCAGTCGCCACGGGGAGGAGCCCCTCGTCTGTCCGTCCCCTCCGCAGCTGCTATAGTGTATGAGAGTGTCCTCTTCCCAGTCCCATGCCCGGGCCTGGGGAGACCAAGAAAACCCCAGCACTTCCCCGTTTCCTCCTCAGCCCGTCTCTGAGGAGACCTCAGGATAAAATACACCATCACCACAGCTGCAGGCCCACGCCTCCAAAGAGGTCCAAGCACCAGAGAGACGCTGGGGACACCTCAGACGGCAGGGACACGGTCAGGACACTTACAGCAGGACCAGTTTCGCCTGAGCGTCCTCGGGGACCAGGAGGCCCAATGGGGCCAGGGATTCCATTAGCACCGTCTTTGCCAGAGGGACCGACAGGGCCGGGAGGACCCTACAGACCAGGAGAGAGAAGCGGTAGTAAGAAAGGAGTGGTGGCTGGCAGTGACTGAGGCTGGCCAGGCAGCCACCCTGCTGGGACAGGCACGCTGCTGAGCTATGGCGCCTAAAATCGGTCTCTGTTCAGCCGACAACCAGCAGGCTCACTGCACGGCTTTCTCACCCTCCTGAGCTCCTATGGGTAACATCCTGCCCTGGGGCTGACGTGCAGAGCTGCCTCGTACTCCTCACAGAAACCGGGCCTGGCTCTCTCCAGGTACCTTCTAGTGATGAGGCAGCGGTGTCCCCCGCCCCTCAGAACTCCCACCCCAGCAGGGCTCACTCCACCCCAACTCCATCTCACTCACTCTAGGCCCAGAGGGACCGGCAGGACCAGAAGCACCTTGATCTCCAGAAGGACCCTGTGGGAGAAAGCAGCAAAGTGCCGAGGTCAGTGCAGACAAATACATGAGGCCGTCGACTGGGGAGTGGGCAGCAGCTGCATGTCCCTCCCCCTCCTCCCTCTGCGCCCTGAGGCAGCCCTGGGGGTTCTGACGGCGGCCTGAGCCGCACTGGCAGCAGGCGAGGCACGGGTGGGATCTGAGCAGCACGAGGCTTTGGGCAGCACTGCTCAGGCGGTGACACTCACAGGGGGGCCAGGCAGACCCTGCAGGCCGGTGAAGCCACGGTGTCCCTTCAGGCCCCGCTCTCCGGGCTCTCCAGATTCTCCTTTGTCACCTCGGGGGCCTTGAGGGCCCTGGGAATAAGATGCACATGGGTCAGAGCAGGTGGGCCCAGCAGGAGCCCTCTGCTTGTCCCCGGCCGGCCCCGGTTCTGGTCGAGGTCCCAGGACAGGGTACTCTGACACTCACGGCGATTCCTCGGGCTCCGGCTGGTCCTGCGGGTCCCATGGGGCCTTGCGCGCCCTGTGAGGACGGAACAAGAGCGACGTGAGTGGGAAGCAGCTCGAGGACCTTCTACACCTGCCGCTGGCTGAGCACTGAGGCTGCTGCCCGAGTCCAGAGAGCCCCGGGCCCAGGACTGCACAGGAGGGCGCCGTGGCGACGCCCGAGGCTCACTCGGCCGCCCCACCCCCAGCTCCGCTGAGTCAAGGGTACTCACAGCCTCTCCTCTGTCTCCTTGCTTGCCAGTTGGGCCAGAGGGGCCAGGAGAGCCAGGAGGCCCGGGGGCCCCGGGAGCGCCCACAGCACCAGTCTCACCGCGATCACCCTGTCAGCGAGAGAGCTCAGGCTCAGAGCAGAACATTCAGAAGGGGCAAGGACAGAAGTTCCTTCAAGACTGAGACAAGGCTAATGCCCACCTGCCCCCGGCTGACCTTTCAGGCCCAGTATAACAAATGCGAAATACTCACTTTGACTCCAGCTGCGCCATCTCTGCCAGGGGGGCCGTCAGCACCAGGGCTTCCCTGGGCAAAGGGAAACAAGAATGCAGTTAGAGCTGCTCCCCGGCCTGCCCCACCTCACCCTCCTATTCTCCCAGAAGCCCAGCCCTGTTCTCTCCTGTCCAACCAGCACTATGGAGTCAAAGCTGCTCCCCAGCTCCCGCCCTCCTTCTCCCCCGTGTGCCAGCATCTGTGCTGTCTCCCCTACCGCCTCCCATGGCACTGGGCTCTTGAGCCTACCCGCCTACACTGCCATCCCCTCTCCAGGGCCCTGCGACGCGGCTGGCCTGGCACTGAGATGCGCTGGGCCCTCTCCCTCGCCAGGAGCACCCCAAGGGGGTTCCCTACTCACCTCTCGTCCAGGTTCACCTGCAGGACCGGTCAGGCCAGGAGGCCCCACGGGGCCAGGAGGACCTCGGTCTCCAGATGCACCAGGTGCACCCTGCTTGCCAGGCTCGCCCTGCAGGGACAGAGACAAAGACCATGAGCGCACACTCTGAACGTCCCTCCTGGGCCCCACAGCCCTCCCCGGGGGACAGGACTGGTGGGGGACAGTTCTGAGGGTTCGGAGCGGGAGAAACATGGCAGGTGACGCGGCTTCTGCAGAGGCAGCCACTGCACCAGCAGCGCTGCGCTGTCTCAGGCTGGGTCGGCACTGCCCGGCTGGGCTAGGAGGAGGAGTGCCCGTCACTCACCGATGGGCCGGGCAGGCCTGGGAATCCTCTCTCACCACGCTGTCCCGGCAGACCAACGATGCCCCTCTGTCCCGCCAGACCCTGGGGACCTGGAGGACCGTCGGCACCCTAGGAGAGGAGGGGCGGGAGACGAGCATTGACGCATTGCTGTGGCACCCTTCCCCACCCACACGGCCCCTGCAACCCCCCGCCTGTGCTTGGGGCTCAGGAGCCCCACAACCACGCGACCAGGGGCCTAGGCAGAAGCCCGGCAGGGACTTACAGAGGGACCGTCATCTCCGGGCTCTCCCTTCTCGCCAGGGGGTCCTGCGGGACCTTGGAGGCCAGGGTCGCCAGCTCGGCCGGGGGGACCACTGTCTCCTCGAGCACCTTTGGGACCATCTTTCCCAGAAGGACCGGGGGGGCCAGGGGGTCCAGGGTTGCCCTAAGAGGAGCAAATGCAGGACATGAGAACTTGCCTCTGCCTTCCCCTCCAGGCTGCCACTCAGACCTCGGGGAAGCGGCTCCCCATGGGGTCTCCACTGTCCCACGCCAGGGGCAGCAGAACACCCCAACCCAGTCTACCTCCTCGGGCTCTTCTCTGTGCCAGCCCCCCATCAGCCCCTGCACGCTTCACCCCTTCCCGTCCGCGTGGAATCCCTCTTGCCTCCTTCACTGTGTCCTCAGTCCCCAGTCCTCAAGGACACCCCAGCCTTGCTCCTCACCCCAAGCCTCTGCTCACCCAAGCTCCGCTGCCTCTGCACTTTCCCGTGGGGAGCAGAGTGACTTTTCCTCGTCTCTACTCCCTGGGGAGGCCCCTACCAGTCAGATCTGGGCCTTACAGCCTTCCTCACAAGGCACAGAGCCGGTACCCAGAATGCTCTCCAGAGATGCGTCCAGGATGAAGGCATTCATGCCAACCCTTCTTGCCTACTGAGGTGGAAGTCTGAGGAGGGAGCCCAACCCAGCTGGCAAGGGTGCATGGCCCCGCCCTGCCCCTCGCTGACCAGAGGGGGACAGGTCCCCATGGCCAGTTAGCGAGTCCTCCCAGGAGCGGAAGTGGGCAGAGGAATGGGGTCAGCCTGCAGCTCTCTGGACCTCTGCTGGGGGCACTGGGCCAGGCAAGTCCACTCCTGCCGCCCAGCCCAGGAGTAAGGTAGACAGCGGCCAAAGTGACACTTACATTGGAGCCTGGGGGTCCGACGCGGCCAGCAGCTCCAGGGAATCCGGTGGCTCCCTGTGTGAGGAGAGGAGAACCTCTGAGTACCTCAGGCCCTCAGGAGGGCCAAGAACCAAACCAGCAGGAGCCAGGGCAGGGGCAAAGGGGAGTCTCAGCAGCAGGGGGCTGCAAACCAGCATGAGGGGAGCTAGGAAGGGAGAAAGAGCCCCGCTGGACCACGGCCTCAGGCATCTGGGCCTCCTGCCCACAGGGGACATGAGCAGCCAGCCTAGGGCTAGAGACCTCCAGGATGACTGTGCCAGCAGGGAGAGATGCCCTCGCTCTCCCTAGCAAGGGATGGGCTCTGGCTGGGGCGTGAGCAGGACTGAGAAGGGAGGAGGAGGAGGATCCTGAACACCCCAGGAATCAATTAGCTTGGTGAGTCAGGGAGGGAGGACGTGGAGGCCTCACTTACCGGGGGCCCTTGAGCACCGCGGGCTCCTTTAGGCCCTGTCACTCCAGTAGGACCCTGGGAAGGCAAAGAGATGGTGAGGCTCTGAGCCCCCAGCACCGGACTCCCGAGGGCTAGGTGTTCAGAGCACAGCTTCCCGGCAGTAAGATCGCAGTCTGGAGAAGCCGCCACTGGCCGCACACCCACCCACCAATGGGAGACTCTGGCGAAGCCAACCAGGTACCCACGGAAGGTGTCACCTCTGGGGAAGCCTTTCCTGTCCCCGCACCCACCCCCAGGAGACCAGCTGTCTGCATCCCTGGAGACAGTCTACACTCTGTGCCCACCCTCCAACACCCATCTGAGGACCCCGCATCAGGACAGTGAGCCCCTTTCCGCCCGACAGGAGAGTGTCCCCAGGCAGCTGGCCGTTCTCTCTCGGTCCCATGTGCCAGGGCCTCTCCTCTTGCACCCAGCCACCCCTTCCTCATGAGGACAATTTGCGGGGAGCTTGGTTTCACCCACCTGAGGCCCGGGAGCTCCAGAGGGGCCCTGAGGACCAGGAGCACCAGCATTGCCTTTCTGCCCGGCCTCTCCCTGCTCGCCCTTGGCACCAGGCTGTCCGTCAGCACCCTGTAGCCAGAGCAGGGGCGGGTGAGGAAGGACCAGAGACGGCGCGGGTGCACTGAGCAGTCCGGACGTGCAGACGGGTCCCAGACCAAGTGGGGAGGGGAGGGGAGAGTCCGTTTCCCTCTTCCTGACGTCCTGCCCCGCTCCCCCGCTTCTCCACACGCCCTTGGGGCTGGATATGGAGCCAGCTGGTGGCAGGGGTAGGACCGGGCTGAAGGGAGATACTCACAGGAGGTCCAGCAAAGCCAGCAGGTCCAGGAGGCCCAGTCTCTCCACGTTCACCCTGGGAGGAGCAGCCCAGGAGAGGTCAGGCACCACTGCTGCCTCCTGTGGTGCCCTCCCAAGAGCCCAGAACCCCCGCCCGGCCTGTCTCCTGACCAGTCACCCCCAGAAGGCACCTGAACATGGTGTGAGTCCCAGATGAAGGGACCCGGGGTGCAGTGGAGGATCTGTGGCCCAAAGGCCCTGCGCCCTGACTACATCCTGGGCAGGGAGGAAGCCGCGTGGGGCAGACCGCAGAGCGGGTGGGCTCAGGGCAGAGCTGGTGCCCTGGCCTCTGGGGCAGCTACTCACCGGGGCACCACGCGCACCAGTACTTCCAGTGGGACCAGGAGGTCCGACTTCTCCCTAGAGCGAGGCAGAGACGAGGAGACAGTTCAGAATGGGGCCCGCAAGAGCCAAGCGCACCCAGGAAGCCCAGCCTGCTTTCCCCTCCTTTCAGCCTTCCCGGCAGTTCTTCAGGGCCTTTCACCCCGAGTCCAGCTGCTCTACCAAGCAGGACACGAAGCCAATGGCTTCACCGCTGAGAGCACCCCACCCGCCCCTCCTGCAGTGACAGTGGCAGGCGGGCGACGGATGACGCTGAGGTGGACGTGCAAGGGAGGACGCCACCTCTCCAGGAGGTGAGCAGCCTTGCTGGGGCGCGGGGAGCAGAGCGAGGAAGGGCGGGCACAGCTCACCTTCTCACCATTGGCGCCCGCTGGTCCAGGAGGGCCGATGGGGCCAGTGAGACCCTGGGGAGAGAAGGCGGGGTGAGGCGGCAGGAGTCAGCCACACACTTGGAGCTCTGCGGGGTCTCCCAGGCCCCACACCCAGGGCACCTCGGTGCTCCTCCCATGGGCCCCAGAGCTCCTGCTGCGGTCTGGCTCCCCGCTGACAGGAAAGTCCCTGTGGTTTCGTGTTCCCTCCGGAGTCCACCGCGTCCCGTACCTGCCCCACCTCAGTCCCCAAGCCCTGCAACCAGCGTCACTTACTCGGCCGCCGTCCTTTCCAGGGGCTCCCTCAGGGCCTTTCTCACCAACGTCACCCTGGAGAAGAGAGAAGCAGCTGCCTTGGGGGGCACTCCGGACCCCATTGCCAGCTCAGCCCCACCCTGCTCGAGCTGTAGTTCAGCCCCTGCCCAAGAAGGGTTTGTGGCCTCAGCACAGGTGACAGGGAACAAGGGAGCAAGGCGGGAATGGGGGGAGGATGGCACCAAAACGCTGAAGGCTTTGGAGGGTCTCCAGGCGCCCCCGGGAAGCGCGAGCGGGCCCCTCCTCCCCAGGGCAGGCACCGAGAAGTGTGGCACAGCAGAGGCTGCGGATGGCACCCTGACCCTGCCACTTACCCTGTCTCCCTTGGGGCCGGCGATGCCGGCTGCTCCTCTCTCGCCAGGCATTCCCTGCAGACCCGGGGGGCCCTGCGCCCCAGGGGGGCCAGCGGGTCCGGAAGCACCCTGGGCGGGAGGCAAGAGAGTCTTGGTGGGCAGCCCCTCCCCCAGCACCCCAGTGTACATCCCAGCTCCTCTTCTTCCCTTCATCTTCTCCTCGGTCCTACTTTTCCTCCCCCGACGCCCTTCCCTCCCTCTACCCTCAGCAGGGCCCTCCAAGACTCCCCAGAAGACGCCCCAGGTCTCAGCACCACTCACTTTGGGACC